ATTTGTTTTTCACATTTGTATAAAATTGAAATACGGAACATTTTTTGTTTCTACAGATTAAGAAGTATATTTGATCTCGTCGCTGTGCCTTAGTGCTGAGACACTACAGTGTCTCCTAATACAATCAATTATACACATATATCAATAAAATATCTAAATTTCAACTGATGAGTAATTTGGGCTTTTATAAGAGCTTATAAGAATTATTAAATCACTTTTAATTATAAAAAAATTATAATAAGATCTGTTCTCAGATAAAAGGACCTCGCATGTTTCATATGGAAAAATGACTTTGGTCACATTGCATAAAAAATTGAGTAATTTAACTCTTAAATATAGATTATCTGATTTTTGTGAGAAAAACATTACTAATCATATTATCATATTTTAATATGCTCTTGAATATAATCATTTTTTACATAAGAAAAATGTGAGAGCAATTCATCGATTTGTTTAACTTTAATGTATTATGTATGTTATAAAAGTGGATTCAGGTTATCGAGCCGAACTTAGAGATAAACCTATAAAAAAAAAGCTTTGAGCATCTGAGCATATATCTGCGATCTATTCTTAATTGTATGTTTTATATAATTAAATATATACGCATCATAATGAATACCATTAAATGGTAAAATTCATCCATTATTCAGTCCATGCTGTGATTGACTAGGCAGTTTTAGGCTTCGACTAGACATAGATGTATGCTCGGCTCACAAAAAAGTTTGGCTCGATAATCTGGACTTAATATGCTCTAAATATTACTATATACATTATCATATATACATAATGATAAAATAAATATACCGGAGGTATATATATAATAAATATATATTGAGGGGAAATTTGAATCTATTGAGATTATAAGACGAAAATATTTGAAGAAATATAAAATGTATATATTTCCTGCATTAGTAGATATATTTATACCTATAAGGATTTCTTTCCATATCTTTTTGAGAGTTTCCAAAGCATCCAAGATTTTATCTCAATATGCAATGAGAAATAATTTTATAAAAATGGTAATATCTATATCCCTATTTTTTTTTTTCAAAAACAATGGCTATTTACAATAGTAAAATAATTTTAAATCAGAATTATAGCATTTAGCTTGTGCATTTTGCTTAATTCTTAGTTCGCACAATGATTTTGGTTGGTTTTACTACACACGATGGGGGTTGTTTGTTTCCCAAATTAATTTTCATTATTTTAACAAATATAAAAAAATTATTTATGCTCACTTCTACTAATATAGATTGATTTTAATTAACTAGGTTTTTTTTTATCTTTTTCTAGTCTAAGAATTAAAGAGGGTATTAAAGTTAATCTACATTGGTGGAACTAGACATTGGTAATTCTTGATATTCTTTAACATCTTTAGAAATCATCTGTAAGGTTATATATTTAAAAATATTGTATATAAATGTTATAATTACTTGCTTCTGATTTTTTATAGAAATATAGGACGCAAATGTGGATCCAATTATGTGTACTAAGCACTAACTTACTTATCTACAGATTTGTTTATGTCATATGCTTCATCTCATTTTAATGAACATTTGAATACATAGAAGCTATGATAAGAGCATGTTGCACATACAACACGAACAAATCTTGTATTGCTATGGATATATGATCCACTTAATGCTGTAAATGCTTTGTAGACCAACCAGAAAAAAGAATTTTATGAATTAACCGATCAAAGAATGCTTCAAAGCATTTGCAACATAAAAGTAGATTGCATCCTATAATTATATGTGAATATCGTCATGAAAATTATATTATTTTAAGATGAGAATAGAGAGATAAAAAAAGAAAACTTACAGGCATTGTGTAAGATCCTTGGCTTCCTTGGTTTCCTTGACCTCCCTGACCTTGAGGATTATTCGTATTTCGTCCTGCAATACCAAATTACTTGTTAATACCAAATTATAAAAGTATAAGAATACTTCGAATCACAAGAATTTCATTCAATAAATTCTCAATAAAAAAAAAAGAAACATTTTTCATGCTCGAATATTTGTATTAACCAAGCGCACTTAAAAATTGCACGGCCCTTCACGATCATCAAGCATATATTCGGTGGATCATGATGTCGCGCCATGTTCTCAACAAGCGCTAACAAGAAAGCTCACGGAAGACCGCCATCTTCGTACTAACCGGCAACGTATGCAGTATTGATTTTTTTCCCTTTGCAAGGAATCACTTTCGCTTATTGCGTTTCGTCGACACGATGCGACATGCGATGATCTATAGACCGAAATTTATATTTTATTGGAAAAATCATACCGTTACCGTAGTTCTGGCTTTGTCTGCTTCGTGTGTACATGTTGGGAGCGATAAACGCTACGCAGATCAACTAGGATCACCCTCGATTAAAACTTCGTTTAATTGGCGATGTGAAAAAATAAAATTGGTATAAAGAAAACGGGTTATGAATCTGTATGTTTATTTCGTACAGCCAGCCGTCCAATGACTTTGTTCTTATATACGAGATATTCCAACAGTTTTCACTTCATACTAATCAACGTCGCACTGCCGTAGTTGGCTTTTGCTACCGTGTCATGTAGGAAGGGGAAATGACGTTGGTTTTTTGGAATATCGGAAGTAAAGGTGTCTTTTCATGTTGACGCTCGATGTTCATTTGCTGGATTCACTTCGATCCGATTAGGGTTCTAGATATAAGAGAAGCGCAACCGATTTCTGATTGGTTCTGCCATTTTTTTCTACGGATAGTCTTCTAGGATTCTAATTTCGGTAAATATCATGGTTTTTAAATCTTGATATGTAGTATACTGTAAGTTTCCAAAGAGAATCAATATTTCTTTAGTAGTAGTCAGTAGAAACACTACTGTTAAGATACCTTTTCATGCTGATGCTCAAGACTCATTTTCAGCATCAAAGGATAACGTGACAAAATTGATGCTTGATATTCGTCAAATTCTATTACGTGATTTATTTTAAGGCCGAAAATTAACGTCGAGTGTCAGCATGAAAAGATACCTTTATAGGAATCGCATTTGCGGAAAGATGTAAACGGACAGATATAAACGCAGGTCACCATTTTTTCTTCAGACGATTAATTATAACCTTTAAATATGCTCGGTTACACTTCTCTGTTATATCTAGGACTCTAGATCCGATGTGCATCGTACAACGCTCTACAACCAATTAGAAAATAGGATTTTGCTTCGTATCATCGGCCTAATTTCCATCAGAAAACAGAATTTTATTTATTGATGGTCTAGTTTCCACGAAAGATTTAAATCAGATTAATGTAAGAACAAATCTACTACAACTATTACCAGTATTCCCCTGTTACAGTCAACGACAGGGGAATGCTAGATTGTAATTGGTTGGTTCTTACATTCTAATCCGGTTTAAACTTTCGATGGAAACTAGGCCATCAATAAATAAAATTCTGTTTTCTGATTAATTGCAGAACATCATAAGATGGATCCAGTGTGAGTCCAGCATTTTTGGGAATGTTTAGAGTTGCCGCATACAGAATTCCGCAACAGTGACGTAAAACGTAAATTTAAATTGATGAGCCAATCAGAATATTGCTTTAGGCCTACATAATCTAACGGAAATGGAAATAACAATAAACTTATTCATAACCTCACAATAAGGCGAATTTCAACTAATTGTAACTGTAGTTTACGTCGATAAGTTTACTACTTACTATTTCTATTTCCGTTAGAATATATCTAAAGCAGTATCCTGATTGACTCATCAGCTTTATACTCAGGCCTTATATTTAAGGCTTTTTTAAATTTATTTTTAGATACTCTATGAATTATTTCATTGGTTGCTGAGCATCTAAAGATAAATTTAAGGAAGCCTCAAGGTCTGATGAATACGGGCATAAGTTTCTGTCTTAAGATTACTGTATGTGTCGGAATCAGACTATGCAGTGAAGAGTAAGATTGAAGATAAAGATTAAAATTTCACTAATAAGAACAAAGAAGTTTTGGCTCCTTTGTTTGTTCTGATTGATCAAACTTCAATCTTTCTATCTTTGATCTTATTCTTCAATGCATAATCTAATTTTGATCTTACAGAAATTTTGTCTGCAGCAGCTCTTATATTGATTGTAAGTTTAAATCTACAATAGATATTTTAAGTTTTAAGACTACATCCTTCTCCTCACATAAACTTGCATAGCTGCATAAAGAAAATTATCTAATCGCATTTCTTCTCTAAAAACGCACGTAAAATGTGATTGGATAATTTTCTTTATGCATACGTTTATGCGATTATGCAAGTCTGTGTGGATATACCCTAATCCGTAAGAAATTGACCAACTACAGTCAAATGCAAAGAGAATAAGTGATTCATCCATTCCTTACGGCTTAAGGCTTAAAAATCTATTGTAAAATACAAGTATGCGGTATGCTGCCGTATCTGTAAAAATTGACCAATCACCTTCTAGTATTCCTTTCTTACTGTCGAATGAGAAAGGAATACTTGATTGTGATTAGTCAATTCTTACAGATTACGGCATGCAGTTACGGCCAATATACACGCTCCCTTTAGCAGCAAAATAATAATCAAAATTGACTTAATATACATCAATTTTTATTACGTGATCTATTTTGACGCTAAAAATGACCGTCGAGAGTCAATATGAAAAGGCACCTTAATGACTACTGGGTATCAATTATGGCTGTGTTCCAAAATTCATTAACTGAATGCGTTAAAAATTTATAGTTTACGTTACGTATATTTTCAGCATTGGCAATAAATTTTGAAATATAATTATGTATCTTTTTTCCCTAGAGTAAAAATGTGAAAAGTGAAAATTTTTTTTATGATATGTGTATATGCACAAGGCATACATATAGCGTTTTCGATCCGACCGAGTTGCAAACCCGGTCGAAGGTTCTATTTTGTAACTGTTTTACACACCTACCGACAATTGTCGGTGTCATTGCGCAACTTTTTTGCCATATAAAATATCTGCGCAACGATATTGACAATTGCCCTGTGTCGAAAACGCTAATACAAAAAAATTTTTATTTTTCACATTTTCTCTCTAGAGAAAAAGTTACACGATCGATACCTAGAGTCCCTATTCTTGAAAAATATCGTATGTGAAAAACTAAAGAAATACTATAATATGCATTAGATATATTACAGCATTTCCCTAATTCGTATGCGATACTTTTCAAGAATAGAAGCTTTGGAATGATAAGCAATATTCAATGAAATTTCTACTTTTTCTCACGTGACGACGCAAAGCAAAGCTCTCATTGGATATCGCTCGTCACTCACGCGTCCAGTATAAGCATAATACTGGCGTCCTATAAGTGGAAATTTACAACGAAAGGGAACAGCGAGATCAATCATAATTCAGAAAAGAAAACAGAGTAATGACTGCCAATGATTGTAAAGTTATGATTTGTCGTTATTTTTGTTCCTCTGTAAATTTCCGCTCATAGGACATCAGACCTTAGGGTAAAATCACATAGTGCAGAAAAGGACTGTGCAATAGAGAATGCGTTATGGAAACAATCGATTAGCACTGTTCGAAATAACACAGACTAACACTGATTGATTGCTTCTATGATGTATTTTCTATTCTGCAGTCTTTTTCATCGTGATTTCACCTTTAAGGTGCCTACGCATGCAGTGAAATAGCGTAATGCGGAACAAGAGCAAATCAATCACAAGCGTTCCACAACTGCAATTGATGCCATTAAAATACCTATTGTAGATCCGGACTGAGGTTTATGCGTGGTCTACAATGGCAGTAGTGGATAAGGTTGTAAGAGAACAAATTGACCAATCACAGTTGAATGTAAGAAAAATAATCGACTGTGATTGCGTCTCATGCTCGAACATGTTCGAACATACTTCCATAGCTCCAATGCATTTGTTGCAGTAAGTATGGATTTACAGTAGATGATTTAAGCCTTAAGCCGTAAGAAATTGATCAATTACAACCGAATGCGAAAAGAATGAGTTGCCATTCTATCTCTCTATTTTAGATTTACACGATGATCCAGTTTTTAAAATACTTGTATGTATATAAAAATATCTTTCACAGAGAAATACGTATAATGTAATATTTTATATTTATATTAATCTTTCATTACTTGGAATTCAAGAAAATAATGGTTTATAAATTCCCCCCTCTTAAATTCGTTAAATGTATGAATGCTATTTATACATACATAGTATTATATTTAGTTCAAATTGTTTCACAATTTACAAAAAAATGTTTCATTTATTGTTATCTAGAGAACGTACAGAATATTATCGATCTTTATTTAATCGTGAATCATCAAAGAGAATAATGAAAATTAAAATACAATATTGGGATGTTAGAAACATCCCACACGAGTAATGTAGGATTAATCCGAAAATGTTGCCTAATTTTTTTACGTAAATAATTATTTGAAATGTTTTAGCTCTGGTTAAAATTACTCTCCTTAACAATATATTCAATTGTGATTTGTCCATTTCTTATCGCTTAAGGCTTAAAATTCTATTGTAGATCATCAGTCGGCGTCCCTGCTTGTCTCGATTCCTGGCTAAGTAAGATGCTTTAAGCCTTAAGTCGTAAGAAATTGATCAATTACAATCAAATTCGAGAAGAATAATCGATTATGATTCGTCTATTTTTTATGGCTTAAGACTTAGAACTCTATTGTAGATCCGGGGTAAAGCGTGGCCATACTGCTCCAATTGATTGGAACATTGCTGGATCAACAGCAACCAATCAGACTTTAGTAAACTGAGAAACACGTCTATTTATCTGTCTCTCACTCTACTCTGTTTTTACCCTTACCACTGCCATTGATGGTCCGTTCTATGTCAATGTGTCTACAATAGAATCCAATGAAGTCATGTTAAAATGAATTTTTTTATTTTGATTGGTAAATGAGATCACTGATCTCATAGAACCAGTTGTTTCATTAAAATACATTTTCAGCCATTTTAATCATTTTAGTGACAAAAAGGATCACGTGAGCAAAATGAACGAATAACAATCAATTTAGGTGTCCTTTTCCTTTTTGATGCTGAAATTATTGGGTGCATTCCAAAACTTGACTCTATCAACTCCGAGTATCCTTTATCTTTATTCAACATTTAATTACTAACAAGGATAAAATACTCGAGTTGACGAAGTTGAATTTTGGAACACAACTCAGTTTGAACGGTTCGTGAAAATGTATCTTAAGGCTAATATTACATTTATCTATTTTTGTCATACGTTTTTCAAGTCTATTGATTGGTTATAGAATAGAGAGATCCGAGAATCTTTTTGTCTTACGATTACATGCTTGAAAATTTGTATATAATGTTAGCTTTATTCACTGTGAGTATATATTAAAAGTTTGTAGAATATACCGAAACATAAAATATAAATTTTTAATTACTCAAATCCACTGATTAGTGGATGACAGAATGCAGCTGCAGAGAATTAAAATTATTAAAAATACTAATGTGAAGTCACGGCATGAATATGCAAAACACTTGGCAGATTTCGTCAGAAATTTAAAAAAATTAAATGATGCAACATACCGAAACAAAACACGCTTATCC